ACACATTCCTCTAAGTTCGGCACGAGGAATAAAGAAAGCTTGTACGCGTTTCCCATTTTTCTATCTGTATAGTCAGAGGCAAAAAAATTGCCCAGGATCTAGTGACGCCTGGGCCAGAGTTAAGGGTCTCAGGATACGAAAATTTGGAATGGTCGCAGTTGGGAGACATGGGCCTATACTTTAAAAAAAGTCAAGATATCGTAGGTTGATCAGCCAATCATTGACTGCTTTTCAAGCAAAATCCACCAATCATAGACAAGAAAGTAGAGCGTAAGTACTTACGTTCACTTAGCGAGTTTTTTGAAAGTATGGCCCCTGATATGCTTTCTTCAAGACTTGATGGGTGAATGAAACTTTAAAGTTCAATATACCCTTTCATTGACTAATAGATGCGCAGATGTTTGAGGACTGTTGATGACATAGAGACAAGTGGGAGCTGAAAGGCGATCGGTAAATCTTGAAACTTTTTTGAAGAAGCTTATACGATTAAGTAAATTACAGAAATGTTGGCATCAACTTTAATGATAAATTTTTCATAGTTTCAGAGACAGGGAGTTTTATTACCAAAAACTTTATTTTCTCTACAAGACAAAGAAACGAATTGATTTCACCGGAGTATATGCTACACACTTGGGCAACGGGCAACTATATATTACATTATTTTATTCTTTCAGCAGAAGTTGTTATATATAATATATTCTTGTACATTTATTATAGCGTTATACGTTCCTTTATAATAGTAGCCCTAGGCTAAGAACATATCTATATATTTGTGCTCAAACATTGTTAACAAGTAACATGTAACTCGTACGATATATTCGCTTACTTTATATACAAGAAATAAAAATTATTCATTGGATCCCAAGCAATAAGATAAATTGAACTAAACTACTTATGTCACTTGTTACTCAACCTTTCAGCTGGATTTTTTTTTGCTTACATTGTGAATTCTAACGCGACTTGTTACTCAACCTTTCAGCTGGATTTTTTTTGCTTACATTGTGAATTCTAACGCGACCACTAAGCTTTAAAATCATATCAAATAAAAAACATAAGTGTGAAGTATTAGCTTAGTTATCCTATTACCTATAGGATAACCTAGGAGGTGTATTAACAGGATGGGAGTTATCCTTTTACCTATTAGATAACCCCAAATATGATTACTAAGATGACTATTTGTCATATTACCTATTGGTCAATTGAGTCGCTATAATTGAAAATAAACAATTAGAAATTGCCATGATAAATAATTTGTCAGGTTTTTATTGTCAATTTATTGAAGCTCACCCAAATGCCTACTACGCCAGCACCTTGACTGGATTGTGGTCATTCAGAAAAGTCTGCGGAGATTCAAACCAGCATTTAAGTATCAGACATGGAAATCATCATTAAAAATTACGAAAGTAAACTGATATAAGTTCATGAATAATGCCCATTTGATTAAATAAGTTCAGAAATAATAATTACAGACCATAAATAATTTTTGATGTTCGAGTGAAGGCAAATTGCATGCGTTTATCGAAGCATAGAAATGGAAACTTTAATTCAAACTATGGAATGCTTTAAGCCAGAGCAATCCTCAGCCTTTGACGTAAGAATGCGTGAGGTGGCAGAGTCTTGAAGTTTATCCAGAACATCAGGGAACATAAATACTGTTTAATTTTGAAATTATCCTTAAAATGTAATGAATGTTTCTTCAACGGTGAGTATACAAATGTAATGCCTTTCTCTACTAATAAACTGCCTGCCTTGATAATTCACTCAAAGATGTTGAATAAGCATCAAAGAAAAGCTTTGATGCAGTTATTAGATGATATTTAAACCATTAAATTTCTTTGTGGACCGCGAAATGGTTGCTTTATCCCATATAATGGAGATTACAAAGCCCGTCGATGGGAATATCTTAATTAATTGACACTCTCGTGCGTTATACAGAAGCGCTTCTGAGACCTTACGCTGGTGCCATGGGTGATCTTCAGTAGCAATAAGGTTGAGTAATGAGTACTTGACGCCACAAAGTATCTTCATACGCAGCATTATTATCATCAAGTAGCAACGTAAAGTCAAGGCCAAGAGGTTACTCAGCAGCTGGCCTCTATACGAGGAAAGTTGTCAGCGGTATGGCACTAGCCTCCATTGGCCTCTTCAATTAGGCTAATAATAATGATGTAAAATAATATGATAATTATAAAACTTATGAGACTTTCAGAATTCGTGATTCAGTGAAGCATTAAGTGAAGATAAATACGATATGTTGTAACTAATTAATTTAAATTATACTTCTTTAAATTTTTTATATATAACCAGGAGTGTGGACAATACCGAGGCCAATTTAAACATAAAAGGAGTTCACGACATTTTTTCACAATAATTTATGAACGTAAAAGAGAGGCAGCACCATATTATTAGCTCGCTTTAGCTCCTCTCCCACATAACGGTAGCAAAATGGCGCTGTTATTTAAGACTAGAAATTTGAAGACGGCCGAATTTTCCAATGAACAGTTTTAAGTTCTTTATGAAGACCGGCATTCTCACATTTGTGCAGCATTCCCTCATTTACTTAGCATTCATTTTTTTTATTTGTGTTCCTTCGCTTACCTAACATTCTTTTTTTACTTAGAATTTCCTAAAGTGCTTGGCGTATAATCTTCAAGTATTGTGAGGTATGGTGGCCAGCAAACAGGTGCCTCATGCCAGCCGGCAAAAGAAGTAAAAATTTTAATCGGTATTCAGCTCCCATAGCCTCATTTAATATTCTGCATCTCATTTTCTTCATTATCCCACAAAATAAATTTGAAACGTGAAATTGTGCTTAACTGAGCTCAAGCCCGACGCAATTTCCGTTGAATTATGACCATTTTGATGGCCTGTCGGCCGTTTACACGCCAGCTAGGATCGTCCGCGTCTCATTTTGGATGCGATGTCGAATAAATTTTTTTAATCTTTGTTCTAAACAGGCGTTGATGATCTGGCGTATGTTTCACGATTAGTTTGAAGAAGAAATTTACACAGTGAGCTATTTTAGTTATTTATGATTATTTAATGAAATGTTTTCTTCTGTAAAAGACGGTTCTTAATTTTTTTCTTAAATTAATAAATTATTTAATTCACACAGTAATTAATTCATTTTTATAACGGAGCATAAACGGTTTTTAATGAATGAGAAACGTTTAGTTAAAAATTAACCAATTTATGTATGTAAGGTGTACTTATTTATGCCTATAATATATATATATATATATTAATTTATTATCAAAAGTTTATATAATTGTAAAAAATTTGGATTTTTTGTGCTTGAAGCTTGGCGCTGTTAATAAAAAATGGCTGTTGGGGCACGCATCCAGACTACTTATCGTTTCGGGATATTACATGGCCCTGAAATGTACTTATTAGTGGGAAAATCCCCAAAAATTTGGAAGAGGAAGGAATGGATTGGATCGTAAATTTGAATATGATTTTGCAATGTAATATTAATTCCATTCAAAATCTGCACGCTAATTATTTCCCTATTATGGAACTAGACTATAATACCAGTTCTTTTTAGAGACGATGGGTATGGCAGGATTTGGTATTCCAAAATTGAGAAAAAATTATTAAGCCCGGTCAACGCAAGGATTAACTGAAGGCTGTTAAATAAAGGTGCTGATCGAGCAAGAATATTTTACATATGAATCATGAGACTAAAAAAGGGCAAAAGAATTAGATTAAAAATTGAAATGCAAAGTAGAATTTTTGAGATAGTTTTATTTAAAGGTAATATGCTCATTGTTCTTCCTTTGAATTGAAACACAGGGGGGAGCTAATGGAAGCTCCGTGATAAAGGCGAGTCTGAGCTGATCTCTACTTAATCAATATACTTCAGCTTCAAAAATAATAACAGAGTACACGACGGCGGGATGCCAATATTGTAAGTATTCTATGTTAAGCACAGCTGTAGAGTCAACATTATTATTTACTCCGATAACAACTGTAAAATTGTGCAAAAAACTCGTGTGCATGCAAGCACATGTGACCAACTTCCACTGAGAATTCAATTAAAGTATTTCTGAACAGTTCAGGATAGTAAAAAATGTCCAAGACTTTAAAAACTAGTAATAGAAATATTTTTTGTTAAGCTTTTACCATTAATTTTTTGAGATTTTTCGAAGTCAGTAAAATATAAATTGAGTTGAGTAATATTTGGTGACTAACCTCACTTATTTTGCTTTAATAGGGCATAATCAGAACAACCTTTATTTACCAAAACACCGCTCACATTGACTGCAACACTTGAAAACACGATCGAAAACAGAGTTAGCAATTGTTAATGCTTTCTCTTCAAGCTCAAATATTGTAAAAAGTTAGTTTGAAGCTCTCTATCTGAAGTGGTTGCCTATATTGTACTTACAAGCTAACCCACAAAATAAAGCATGCGTTACTTGATAAAAATAATCAAGCGATGAGTAGGAAATAACTTCCGACTTTTCACCTTTCCTCAGAAGTAATGCGTTAACATTTTGCATAATTATTAATGAGATTTACTTAGAGCTCATCCATCTTAAAGAAGCGCAAGCTATGTATTCTAATGCCACTAATTACATACATGCAGCTTTCCTAGTAAAATTAAAGTGATAATCTATTGATGAATAGGAATTTGACATACAGTTATACAAAATATGGATGTTCTTGCAAAGTTGTGGCTTAGGACGACACTGTGGATTTGGCATCATCTTCACTTAATTGCGTTGTATGTATGCGACTCTCACTGACTTTCCCAACCCACGTCACTGTTCATAACGAAATAAATTTTTATGCATGGAAAGTTTTATTTCTGTTACTTATCATATCGAGGCATGGATGGTCGGAGCTCCTCAGCCACTTGCGTGGGTCGAGACATGGGTAGTTGAAGCCTCAACCACTCGCTGGTGTTGAGGAATGGGTAGTTGACGCCTCAGCCACTTGCGGTGGTCTAGGCATGAATGGAGTGCCTCAACCACTCGCTGGTGTTGAGGCATGGATGGTCGGAGCCTTAATCACTCGCTGGTGTTAAAGCATGGATGGTCGGAGCGCCTTAACCACTCGCCGGTGTTGAGGCATGGATAGTTAGTGGCTCATCGCTCACTCTCCTCACTCAGCACGTGGCTGAGGCCACGATCCACGTGCTGGGAGGCAGGGTAGCAAGGGTCCACGTCTGGGTGTCTGGGGGAACAAATTACGTGCAGAATAAAAGGGAATGACTGGCGATGGTGAAGAGGAAGGTCTAATAGATGTGATGGTAATAAATATCGGGGGTTCAGTTCTTGGTGTCTGGAGGGAAAAGGTTAGAGACAACAGAAAATGGACTGAACATTCCTATGTGAAGAGGGAGCTAATTTAATATGTGTGGTGGTAATAAAATTGCGGATTGTCGTTAGGAGCAAAATATATACAGATATATAAATATAATAAACATCGATGTATACAGGGAGCTCATCAATTTGTGTGATGGTAGTAAGTATCGTGCTTTCACTTCTCTGTGCCCGAGGGAACAAGTAAAATGAAATGGAATGAACATCCTTTTTGAGGGGGAAATTCGTTTAACATGGTATCAAAAATGAAAAGTTTACTTGTCGGCGATTGGAAAATGAAGACTGCACATAATAAAATAATTGTCATTTCCTAATGATCAGGATGAATGTTTATATGTTATTATATGGTTCATACGAAAGCCTTGTGTAGTGTAACATAGCAGGGAATACATTAAGATTTTTTAACAAGGAAATATCATTTTTCTTTTGCCAAATAATAAAGATGTTGATTCTCCTCTTAACACTCGAGTTTCCCGGCCACTGGCTGTGTTCAGTATCCACTCCAGTATCCATATACGCACTCGTGTGTGTGCAACAAGCACACCAAAGGTGTATAAACCTATTTTTAGAGCACAGCGCAAGAAGGTTTCGTATTAATGGAAGCACTCAGTGTCCTCATACATCGTCGTGCCTCGACGCAAAGGTACCAAAGGGAAATGCATCTTGAACGACCTAAACATGGCGGGATGTCAGGCTACTAAAATGGTAGAGCTCCTGTTGGTTAAGCGTGAACTCTGAACGAGAAAATACGCGCCATACGAGTGATATTATTAGAAGTTACTTTTAAGTGAGGAAAAGGACTGCTGTTCACATAAGAAATGTAGTTCATTTTCCAATATTTTATTTCTTCGGACGTTGCTTAAATTCTCCTGAACCTGCACCATCGCAAAAATATATACAAAAAGACGGTAGCAAGACGCTACCTACGTGTAGGAGTCAATGAAGTAGGGAATGCCTGGTAGATACTACGTACGTGTAGGAGTCAATGAATTAGGGAATGCCTGGTAGATGCTACGTACGTGTAGCAGTCAATGAAGTAGACAATGCCTGGTAGATGCTACGTACGTGTAGGAGTCAATGAAGTAGGGAATGCCTGGTAGATGCTACGTACGTGTAGGAGTCAATGAAGTAGGGAATGCCTGGTAGACGCTACGTACGTGTAGGAGTCAATGAAGTAGGGTATGCCTGGTAGGTGCTACGTACGTGTAGGAGTCAATGAAGTAGGGAATGCCTGGTAGACGCTACGTACGTGTAGGAGTCAATGAAGTAAGGTATGCCTGGTATGTCTTCAGGAAAACTTTTCGGCAAATCTGCCCTGGTGCGCGCAGTGAACTGGAAGCCTGGAGATTGGATCAGGTACCTGGGATGAATAGGAATATTATGTTACATCTTATGAACCGGAATATAAATTGTTCAATAATTTATTTACGGCAGCTTTGAATATTAAATAAACACCATTACAAAATATTTCACTTTTTTAGGTGTTGGGCCATTAGGGGATCAATCATTCAGGCGATCAATCATAATGTCCCTGGTGTTAACCATTTAAATCGGCTTCAGTGAATAGTTGAACCACTCGTTAATAGTTGAGACCCAGGCATTTGCTACCCATTAGTAGTCTCACTGTCTTTCATTGTGCAAGTCATCGAGTCTCTCACTGTTTGAATCATGGAGTCTCTCACTCGTAAGTGGTGGGGCTAACGTTGATCCTGAGAGCCTCCGAGGTTGACTCGAAGGAGTTCGCCAGAGTGACGTTGGAGCCAAACATACAATAGCGCGGCATAGCTGTCCCCACTACACCAGCCAGCACCGGACCAGTGTGAAGACCGATGCGCATCTGGAAGGCGCAATAAAATAATATTTAATGTAATATAATAGGTATGAAATAAAGCTTTTATCACCATTTCTGTTTGCATGATGCCATAATACAGACCGATGCGCATCTGCACCTCACAATAATATATTTTTTATTATATTTAATATTATGCAATAGGAATGAAATAAAGCTCTTATGACCACTTATGCCGGCATGACGCCATAATACAGACCGATGATCGTCAGAATCACAAAATAATATAATGTTTAATGTAATACAATAGGTATGAAATAAAGCTTTTTTCAGCATTTCTGTCTGCATGATGCCATAATACAGACCGTTGTGCATCTGCACCACACAAAACAATATAATATTCAATATAATACAAAATGTATGAAATAAAGCTGTTATCACCAGTTCTGTCTGCATGATGCTATAATACAGACCGATACACATCTGTACCACACAATACATAAAATATTAACTCAAGTACAATAGGCGCTGAGCTTATTAGAACAATAGTGAATGAGTGACTGCAGAATTTAACGCTGGAATATAATTTGATATGAAATGCCGATGCACAGATGGCACAGTGATTTGTATTGAATATATTCCGTAAAGAAATCGTAATTACCACTGAAAAATGTTCGTAAATAAGCACAAAATAGATGGAATATCCATTTTAACTCAGTGTTTGTCCCGGCAAAGTTGAAAATCTCCTTCACTTCTCATGAACAAGCACTTCTCATTTCTAGAGAGCTGTGGATAATCGATGAGGAACATAACAACTCCATTTTATAAATACATAAAATTATGTCAATGATGTCAATGGTTGATGGAACGATTCATGAAACAATATATTTTAAGACGAACATTTATTCTCAAACTCATCCCAAGATAAGTTTAAGATCGAAACTCTAAGCTGATCGCTTGGTAACTTTCCAACAGTTTTCATGAGGAAACTTTTCTTCTAATAAGTAATTCAATAAACATCAATAAACATCAATAAACATCATAAACATTGTCGTCTCCTTTTCACAGGAGACGACAATAATTCGTTAGTTCACCGTATAAAAGACCTATATTTGAAATATTTATGCACCGCTGATTAAATGTATAAGAACCAACAATGCTAAATCCAGTCTCACTCAATCATCAAAAATAAACATCATCAATATGAACCATCGTCAACAAGAACCATCATCATCGAGACCCATCATCAACAAGAACCATCATCAACAAGAACCATCATCAACAAGAACCATCATCAACAAGAACCATCATCATCAAGAACCTACCATGATAGGTTCGCCAGAGTGTGTCTGGTGGTAGGTGCAGGTCTCGAGCATCTGCATGGCCATCCATGCCACGCGCTGTGCGTGGTAGCGCGACTTGCGGTGTAGGTTGCCCGCTATGCAGTACGCGTCTCCAATCGTCTCAACCTGGCCAGTCATAACAACTTCGTGTATTAGAACAAATTGCTTACATTTAATTCTGAATTAATATTTTAGTTCAAACTGTTTCCCTATTATCCAGTTTTTAAGTCTGGAATGAACCCTGAGCTGCAAAATAATTAACTTTTTAATTCTGGAATGAACCATGAGCCGCAGAACATTGCAACGACCGCAGTAGCTGTTGCCTGCATTGCGTTTGAATCGTTCAAGATCGGAAAAATGGAAGATTAGAAAGATTTAGAAATATTAGAAGTGACGAGTGATTTATTACAGCTGGGATGCAATCAAATTTGCGAGTAGCAGTCACCGTAAATTCATTTAATTTGTGCTAAAAATTGTAGTCAATGTTCCAATATTCGCGACCTGAGTCGGAATGATTGATATTAGACAAACATATTTTGTGAATAATTAATGCTGGCTGGACATCGCGTGGCACACGAAAGGGCAAACTGTCAATCGAGCCAGCATCTCTGCATTAAAACATTCATGCAAGATGACGTTATAATGAATTTAAATAAATTATTATCTAAGATTACGATTTTTGATCTTTGACTACCAGCAGCCACGCATGTGTTGAGCTCCAGGGACCATGTCTCGCAATTTCCTTCTCAGCAGGACCAGAAGAATTATCTCGTCCCCGTGTCTGGACGTCTTGATGACATCAAATTGGTATATTGGCAGTCTAAGAATTCGTTCATGGCCTTATACGAGGCGAGTTTTCAAAGTAAGTACCGCTTTGACAGGAGGAAATCTTTCAGCTAAGGACGAAATCGTGATTCGTTTGTTTTCTTTCACTTTAGGATAATTATAAAAAAATAATAATAATAATAATAATAATAATAATTGTAATCGCAATTTTTCACATGTACGCTTCACGTAATCTTTCTGTTTGGACCTTCAGTCATCCGACCGAAGTTTACCTGGACATAAATTGTCATTCGTAGTTTAAACCTCTTTAGTGGCAAATACTTCGGTGAGTTTTGTCCTGCAATTTATTAGTCTTTCATTATTGATTCTGATACGATATTCTTTTGGTTAACTTGGATTTAATTTTGCTCATATTTGTTTATCTTGTGTATTAGATAGCTAATATTTCTTATGTCAAACTTGCAGAAACTATGTTTTCAAGATCACCCAAATAAAACTCCTTGAAACCTGAGTGTCGAAAATTCGCCTAAGCCACTAGGGCTTAACAATAATAATAATAATTTAATTGATTTGGCAATGAATGTCAATTGATTCGAAGCCTTGTACACAGAGGAACGTACGCACTTTGCAATAGGTATTTTCAATAGGTGGAGGCAATTTAAAAACACGTAAACAGATGTAGACTCGATAGGAGGGTTCCGTAAAAATAATCTTGGGAACAACACAAGTAATATACAAGAAAAGGATACTGATGAAAATCGTTAAAATTCATCATAGATAATATTAGGCACATCGAAAAATATGTGCGGAAAAATATAATAGAACCCCAGCTGTTCATTGCAAGTTGACGCCTGGGGAATTGTATTTACAATCCCACAGAACTACAATTAACTCACCTTTTTTGATATAGAACTTCAAAATTTTTAGAATGCTGACAACGCTCTGCAAGTAAGCCATTTCAGTTATCGTTAACCTAGGTTGTGTGTGTGAAAACATCCAATTAATTATCAGAGCAACATATACCCAGCCAATAATTTTCCAGCATTGGACTGACTTTGGCCAAATATTTTCCATTTTAAACTCTCAGAAAAAATTTAATCGCGCCTCAGAGAGAAAGTTTCATTGAATAACAAGGTATGTTATTAATATTCAGAGGAAAAAAGAGCTAATATAACATGAGCCGCGGAAGGAAAATTTTGTGAGAAAATAAACTGCTTATTTAATAAGTAATAGTCATTTACTTTATTGCTAAATTCATCAATAAAATCACAATGAACACAAATTTTTCTTCGTTTGTTTTATTTATACACGAATGATTAGCTATTCTTAAAACGTTTATATGCAAAAATGATTCGTAATCATTCCTATCGCATCGTCTGTTGTGGGTAAAATTATTGAAATCCACGCAGTTTTCATTTGAAGGGATAAAACTACAACACTTTAGTAACAGGAGTAACGTAATTAACTGCGAACGAGGCCGTGACTAATTCGAACTGAAAGCCAAAGGAGAGAGAGCATCGATCAGTTACGATATAGCATAGTTTAATGTTATCTCGAGCTGGGCGCTGGTAGACAATTTAACTAAATAATATACCACATTACACAAACTGCAAAAACTTTGTATTACTAATTTTTATTTAATCAATTGAAAGCGGAAGAAGCAAAAAATAATAATTATTCGCGAAATTATTATTCGAAATAATTATTCGCGGTATGAAAAAAGCCTATTCTAAAGCCAAGAACTATTTTACTAAAACTCCATAAGTTTTTCCTGGGTTACGGAATTGATAGGAATCACTGTGTGTAGATTGTTGAGCTAAACATTGTTATCACATGAATGGGCAGTCAACTAAAATAATTGAAAACCAGCTCTAAATGCAAGGGAAGCTATCATTTTGCGAAGCTACATCTGAAATAAAAAATTGAGCTATATTAATTCACCGGAATATTTGTTCCTTTGAGTCCCAGCTGACCAATAATTGCAAATCTACCATCAAAGGTAGACATTTGGCTACTAAATCTCCCCCAAGCTCATTCAGCCATTGCACAATGGGCCAATTTTAAATAATGCGATTTGTTCATTTTTTTCTGACAGAACAAAAACTCGTGCCTTGTCTGAAAAACTTCTGATTGCCCCGAGTGTAGCGCTCTACTGCAAAATTAGTTCCCTTTGAAGAGTTAAACCGTGAAGGAGAGAAGGAACCTGGAAGTTTCTTTGAAAAATAATTATGATTAAATAAAGTGTCTAGCGAGCGCGAAGACTTGGAAATAAATACTGAACTCTGAAGCATAGATATCATTTTAATTGCTGCATAAACTAAATCTTTGAGGTCATGCAGGCAATTTAATGAGATTAAAGTTTGAATTAATGTTGAGCCATTAAAATCCCGGTTATTAAAGATGGCGGTCACATAGCAACCAACAACAGTGCCTGGAAATTCTGGCCTCGAATTAATGGTAAAATGTCTTCGAATTACTGCAAAAAAATTCTTTTACGTAGGCCGCCGAAAATTCTTCTCGTATCATCCTGTGAATTTCTGTGGCGTTATATTAGTATAAAAACTTGAAAATAGATCTAAATTAATAACTAATTTCAGAATGTAAAACGCACTGCAGGAGACTTTTATCTCATTCAAAACTTTATATATATAGAAGCAGTGCCACATGATACTTTACTCTGAATGTTGTATAAATGTTAGTTTTTAGTGTTCAACGAATAAAAAATGTATTGCATCAATTTGTAATCAGCTCAAATATATAGCAAGATTTTAGAAACATTCAATAATTTTTGATAAAAATTGACCTCAACCAGGGAATTTTTGACAAATTATGTCAATCAATTATGTTTATTCATGAAAATATGTAGGTCAACTGAAAAATAAACAGTTATCTCATTATAGATTAATTGAATCTTGCGTTGACTTTTGTAAACATTGGGATTATCAACTTTCAAAGTTATGATTAAAAGAATAATACCCCTGAGTTACAATGGCTGACAACATTTTATTTGCTGGAATCATCAGTAGTTTCATTTTGAATCGTGACTCAAGCTCATTGGCGGGAGTTCCGTCAAGCCACTAGCATTTCTGAAATAATCAAGATTCTGGCGATGTCAGTCGAGCTCGAGCCCGACGTCAGATTGTTAAGCCATTCTCCACGGGCCACTGAATTCTGACTGAAATATTCGCGCAGACTGTTCTGATTTCAGACCGGCCGACATAGGCAGATATTCTTGCAATCCCGCGCCTTCTTGAGTCGTCTTACGACCGATGTTGGGTTGACAGTTTATGAGAAACCAACATTTTTACTGCAGACACTTTTTTCACATGAAGTTTATGACAAACATTCTCTTCCGATGTGCATACCTTGAACTGTCGAGTGGATCAGAATCTTTCTCAACTCATCGCTTTGCAATCGTCATAATTTTTCACTATTCGAACGCGTCTTTTTTAATATGTAATCAGAATTTTTATACGAAACACTAATAGCCTTATGCAAGGTGAGTTTTACAACATACTTTATCAGGTACAGTCCCCACCTTGTAGACGTCGAGTTGTCCACAGAAGACGTCGAACTTGGTGTAGAGGTCCTGAAGCATGGAGATCACCATGAACGGCGTCGCTGTCGAGCAGATGGACGTGAAGCCGACGATGTCGCTGAATAACATCGTAACAGCTTCGTGCTTCTGCGCGTCGATCACTTCCCCTGTTTGATTAAGAGGGCGAAAAATTAGTAAAAATGCACAATTGATTAAAATTATAATAAGAAATTTGTTCAATAACGGTTAATGCCGACCATTTATTCGGGGAAATGAAAGTCCAAACAGAGAATAAGAAGAAGCAGAGGTTGCCTAGGCTTCTTGCCTGCATTTCGTCGTCAGATTTTTTAACTTAAATTTATTCACTTCATGTCTAAAATATATTTCTCTAACCGAATTGTAAGATAATTTTAACGGTTTAAAAAATTATATCTTTTATTTTTCACAATCTTCATATCGTACAGGCGTTCAAGTATGAGACGACTGACGAGATTCTGGCAAGGGTGTCCGACAGGCTGAATATCGACTAAAGAAATGTTTTTTTAGCTTAAAATCCTTGACATTTATCTTAGAAACTGGGACGGTCCTCCCCTTAGCTTTATAATTTTTATCTTTCAGAAATCGGTATTAAACTTATTTTTGAATTATTAAACATTTTTTGAACCTAAACTTTACCACACTAAAATTTGGGTCACTGAATACAATAGTTAGATGCACTAACATCCTTATTAATTGATTACTCATGAGATATTGATTCATGCGCATGAGACAATTTGTAACTTTTTAATTGTAAATTGTCTTAAAACTCTCAACCAACTGTGGACAAGAAAATATTCATTCACGATTCGTCGAATTATCGAAGAAAACTACGATTATAAGCAGGCGTGGAAATGTATTTAGAAGAATTTTCTAGATTTAATGCCCAGCTTACCGAGCCAAAGACGCTTAGCGATATCGGGCGGGAAGATGAGGTGCAGAAGCGACACGTTCTTCTCGCGTTCTTCATCGACTGCCTTGTTTGCCTCCACGATGTTCTCTTTAATTTGAGTCATGCGGCGTTTGATGCTGTCCTGTAAAGGGGTATACCGAAATGCTTAAATTTTTATGCTTTATGAAATTATTATTTGTTTATAAAATTTACCTGCCGAAATATTGAAACTTTCCAGAACGAAGCAAACGACAAAAGAGAACAAAACAAAAATCAGATAGCAGATAAAAGTTGCATGCAGTTCGGCAAGTTTTTACTTTGAAAACAAAGTCTCCCAACTTTCAAACATGGAGGAGGTTGGCCTGGCTTCCTGCAGGGATAAAATGTACCTAGTTCTGCGCAGGGACGAAATGTACCTAGTTCTGTGCAGGGATGAAATGTACCTAGTTCTGCGCAGGGACGAAATGTACCTAGTTCTGCGCAGGGACGAAATGTACCTAGTTCTGTGCAGGGACGAAATGTGTCTAGTTCTGAGCAGGGATGAAATGTACCTAGTTCTGTGCAGGTATAAATGTGTCTATTACTGTGCAGGGACGAAATGTACCTAGTTCTGTTCAGGGATAAATGTGCCTAATTCTGCGCAGGGACGAAATGTACCTATTTCTGTGCAGGGACGGAATGTCCCAAGTTCTGTTCAGGGATAAATGTACCTAGTTCTGTGCAGGGACGAAATGTACCTAGTTTTGTGCAGGGACGAAATGTCCCTAGTTCTGTTCAGGGATAAATGTGCCTAGTTCTGTGCAGGGACGAAATGTACCTAGTTCTGTGCAGGGATGAAATGTACCTAGTTCTGTGCAGGGATAAATGTGCCTAGTTCTGGGCAGGTATGAAATGTACCTAGTTCTGTGCAGGGATGAAATGTACCTAGTTCTGTGCAGGGATAAATGTGCCTAGTTCTGGGCAGGTATGAAATCACCTAATTCCCTGAGGCAGGGGAAAATTCTCCATTTTTCCTTCAGGGACAACGTTTCCTTAATTTAAATCAGAGGATTTCTTCGACTTTCTGCGTCACTCGCTGAAAATTGGAGGCGCAACTTGAAATTTATATGAATGCATTGAACTCGTCAGTTCATATAAATATTCAACCAAATGGTTATATTTTCAATGATTTAATTCGAGGTAATCCTAAATTCTGATCTGAAATAACTTCTCCAGCTATGGGGATCATTGTGATTTATTTTAGAGCTTTAATGCGAGTGAACATATTATTCTGAACCTATTAGTGTACACTTCCATAATGCTTGCACCTATTACCCTATTTGCGAACACATTCTATTTCCTCTCTTGCATCAACATAACGGTTGTTTGCTTCATCTGTAATGTAAATGTATTCTCCCGAACTGTTTTGTAGCGAAGCGAAAGTTTGTTCGCTGCTAGGAGAGCTGAGTGACATAATGAGGTATCGGTTACCGATGCTGTCGATACTTCCAGACCACAAACCACTTCAGTGGCGGTCGTCTTTGAGAAGTGAAGAAGAACTTCGGGAGGGGTTTACGGGAAGTTCCATTGAAGGAGTGGTAAATATTAACGAAAGTGACTTGTCTGCATTATAAGTAATTACAAATTTGTACCGTGACACTGAAGTGCTAGCGAGTTAAGTTCCACTCTGTGAAATGATGAAACTTTTTTTTAATAGTGAGGCAGTATTTAGCTTCTCGTGGTTCAACCTTGCCCAGTTTGACCGGGAAAAAAGGTGCATCAGTGCTAAATGTAATTCATAATAAAATGTAAATAAATAAATATATGTAAATAAAAAAAAATGTAAATTGGTCATATTTGGACAATATGACTAAAACTTTTTCTCAGTGTATAGACCAGTTGGTGGCCAATATCATAATTTACCTTGATGATTTCACGAGAAGAAAAAATATGAGCAGAACTACCAACATCATCGAATTTTATCATTTAGAAAATATTATTTCTGTTTAAACTTTAATGTCGGTGATTTCTAATAAATAATAAAGTTTTCGATAATAATATGTTAAATAAATATAGTACATAATAATGTACTATATTTCTAACAATAATGAAAGCTTTTTCATCATCATTTAAAACAACTAGCTATCATCCTGGACAGCGCGATACGAACTCCTGCGACACGTAATCATTAACGAAATCAAATGCAGTACAAAACTCACCGCGATGAGGCAATCTGCCAAAATAATTCTAACTCTCTTCCTATTGACTATTGATCAATGAATATTTAGACATAGGGGTGATATATGCACATATTTATTTTTACAATTTTATTCGTTTTGAATTGTAATTCATTATATTTTACACGTTTCATTGAAGACCGGGCTATGAGTTAAAAAAAACTAATAAGAAAATAACCAATAAAACATTTTCTGGTCTTCATTCAAACTTGTCTAAAAAACATTTCTCTATATACAATTCCTTATAACTAATTAAATATTCAAAATTCTACATATATAATAACAGTTTTATACTTTTAATGGAAATAATTCGATTACCTGAGCCCTGGACTGCTCGCCCACGAGGATGACGTCACGGGTGGCGTCGTGTATGGGGATGTCGGAGATGAACAGACCGCGCGATGTGAGACCCTCCAGACTGTCGAGTAGCGGGGACCCCACGAACAGCAAACTCTTGCTCTCCGGGCAGTCTACCATCTGACCCTTCAGCTCCATGGGCTGGGCAATAACTATTATCAATAACACTAAACAATCTGACCCTTCAGCTCCATGGGCTGGACAATAACTATTATCAATAACACTAAACAATCTGACCCTTCAGCTCCATGGGCTGGACAATAACTATTATCAATAACACTAAACCATCTGACCCTTTAGCTCCATGGGCTGGGCAATAACTATTATCAATAACACTGAACCATCTGACCCTTTAGCTCCATGGGCTGGGCAATAACTATTATCAATAACACTGAACCATCTGACCCTCTAGCTCCATGGGCTGAACAATAACTATTATCAATAACACTGAACCATCTGACCCTTCAGCTCCATGGGCTGGACAATAGCTATCATCAATAAGATTAAACCATTTGACCTATCAGCTCCATGGGCTGGGTAATTAACGTTATCAACCAAGCGGTATACTAGATGGTGCCAAAGAGTACCAAAAGAACTTTCCGACAAAGCATTATATGGAATTAATGATCCATCCATTATGCTTTATTGCTTAGTTATGTTATGTGTTTAGCATATTTCTCTAAGCGCCTTATATGCTACTATATAGTACGTTAGCCCGACGAATCTCGGGACTGATAATAATCTCTGTCTGGACTGATATCACGACTAATATCCTGGCACGATTAATGTCGTGGATATGCGCTAGAACAGCCTTTATATTCACGGTGTCAGGCTACAAACACACAAACTATCTCATTGGAATTACATATATTAAATAAACGTACCATATTGAGTATAACAGTATAATTTCTCGCATCTTATAGGATTTTTAAGAGCAAATGTAAGTGCTCTCAAATCGTAGCTAAAATAACCGCTTGCACCTATAAACATCCCATTCAATCCCATTCATTTTACCGCTCGTCTCACAGCTCCAAGCTCACCTCTACTTTGCGTTTACTGCTCAGCTGTTTTTTGATGGAGAGGACGTAAGCAGTGTTGAGTCGAGCAGAAATCTCTTTATACTCGAGCGGGACTCGCTCAGGCGACACAACTTTGAAGTATTTGCTCACTTTGTCACCTTCTTTCTCGGCCTTCACTCCGTAGATCTGCCACAAACGCAGTCGGGTGATGTTACAAGATTCATCAATACGTCTTTACGAGTTCGCTTGAGTTCGTGTAGACGAATTTCGAGTTTTTTACAAAAGACGTCTATCAAGTCCCATCATAGGTAAGTGTTAGTCTAAAAATTATGACAAACACTTGCAAGTGCTAAATAAAAATTTGACACTGCATGGACGTATAAATCCTGCAAATGCGGGAAAAAAGAAAAAATCATCCATAAAATTGTCAGCTCAGATGATACGACCTCAAATAATAATATGTCAACAACTTATTGCATTTTCAGCTACTTTCTGCTCAAATAAAATTAAAGTTCTAGTTATACTGGATTTGGGTGAGGTTTTGAGCGATTGGATTTATTTGAATATTTTTCTATTCTCACATTGTGGCACTGAAGATTAAAAATCGCATGTTAAAGCTAGGTCTAAAGTTAAAAAAAAATAAAATCTCAAAACGATCGAAGCAAATTATCAACAAACCTGACTAATGTTTTTGGGTGGTGAAGGACACAGAAAATATTTATGATGTTAAGAGGTGAGCAGAAGAATATCGTGGCGGTAAAAAGTTAGGATGAGCACAGACCGCAGAATGCAGGTAATAACTTCTTTCAACGAAGGATTCTGCAGCATATTCTTTAACAATATGTGGTAGATAATTGGGAAGATGATTTCAAGTGACAAAGGAGTGAGAAAATAACAATAAAATTAAGCGTGAGTAGTTGAGGTCGCATGACTGCAATGAATGTACGAGGACATAATTTTCACAGCAATGAGATGAATAGTGTGAATTATAAACGGATGGCCCTAAGTTAGGGATGATTCAGGACACAATTTTCACTTTCATGAGGTCAAAAGCTAGCAACTTATCGTAGGGGCTTACGCGGCTCTGTGTTTGAGAAAACTTTAACTTTAAAGAATAGTTTAAAAAGTTTAAATGGTTCTTAAGGTTTAAGACCGCTTCTATTAAAGTTTATGTCTGACCTGCACCAGCGCCGTGCCGATTTGTATGAACTTCATCTTGCGGTCGCAGACGAAGTGCCAGGGGAAGGCGCTGCAAAAGGTCGATACGTTCATCTTCGAGTCAGCCACGTCGCTCGAGAGCTGCTGGAATGAATCCTCCAGCAGCCCTCGGGCGTACACTTCTTCTTCTTCCCGAACCCTGGGCATTTTTGCACTTCTTGCAGCAGCTTCTGGATCTTGTCGATCTTGCCCCCAAAGAGTTGGAAGAGTGTTTTTACCGCTACAAGTTGGGTCACTTTTTTGATCGACGAAATCCTCTGAGTTCTCAGGTATACTTCTGCATTCTCCAGCAGATGGCGGAGATTGTCCACTGTCGTTTTCTAGATCCGGGTTTTTGTGACCTATTTCTAAAATATCTTGAGACTTAGTAATACCTAGAAGCTCTAGTTCTTTACTATCTAGTGTGTCACTATTTAGGACGGTGCTCTCGCGATCTACAGCTTGTGTTTTGTCGGGCCTGTTTATGTTAACATTTTTAGATCTGTCGCCGTTCAAGGGACGCAGATCGCATGATCCTTCTTCCGTGATGGCATACTTGAAATAATAGCGATGCCCATCCAGACGACAAGGAGCACAAACCGAGCTCTTCGTCTTGACCTTTCGTCGGAACACGAACTCGCTTATTCCTTCAATGGCTCCGCCCATGAAATATCTTAAAGGTTCACGATTGGTATAGAAATGTAAAGAAAGTTGTCCTCCTTGGCGATTGCAGAGCAGAGTTGGCACGTCGTTTTTAGTTGATAATTGATTAGCTTGGTCCGGAGCTTGCTGAAGAATGTCTAGTACTCCCGTGAGGTTTGTGAGGAAGCCTTCGAGGTTGTATCCTAAGCTAGATAAAGGCTTTCTGTAGAGAAGCTCGCACTCCATAGCGAACCTCCTGCCAAACTCGCTCATAAAATCTTCTTCTGATATCTCTGTGGATTAAAAATATAACGTCAAACAAATTAACTACCGCTTTCAAATTCAAGAAATTAGCTTTTGATTCTGAAAAATCTGAAGAATTTCGTATCATGACAACGTTATGCAAAAAGATAATCGCTGCCAAAAATTTATGCAATCATAAGATTATCGCTGCCGAAACATCAAATGCTATGTGAGCTGAACGGCATCAGCTTAACAGAAGCTTACCAAGCTGTTAGGAAAGTGAAAGCAACATGTCACTTACCGAGCTGTTTGGAGAGTGACAGCAACATAACACTTACCGAGCTGTTTGGAAAGTGACAGCAACACGTAACTTACCGAGCTGTTTGGAGAGTGACAGCAACATGTCACTTACCGAGCTGTTTGGAGAGTGACAGCAACAAAACATGTCGTCAACTTACCGAGCTGTTTGGAGAGTGACATCAACATGTCGTCAACTTACCGAGCTGTTTGGAGAGTGACATCAACATGTCGTCAATGTGCCAGTCGTCGTAATCCTTTAATCCATCCGCAACGATGCTTAGTTTCCGTCTGAAACACATCGTGTGAGAATTATCACTTTCGAACTCACAGCAAAAATTAAGTTACACAAGAAAACAGGAGTGGTTGCTGAACGTGATCAAATTATTTGAGATTGATACTAGATATATAATGTCAGTTCATCTAACAAACGTTGTTATTACTCATTTATGACGTTAAACTGTTACTCTGTTTCGTAATGCTCAGGAATTTATCATCGTTTAATATCATTAATATCATTTATCATTAATTAATAAAATTATTAATACATATTAATTAATAAAATATTACAGTAGGAACATCCATAAAAAATTAACACATTTAGAAATGACTTCACTTATATTCCCAATTTAACAGCCCATTATATATATTTTAATGAAGGTTTTGCTTGCAGCATAGACTGAATATAAAAACGCAGGACACTCAAAATTAGGATTAATAAATATACTCATGATATCTTGCTTTCCGGATAAGTTTAAATTAACTTCATTACTTTTTAAATGTTAAATTGCAAAATCATACAAGTTCTCGAGGCAGACCAGCTTTCCTGTTACCATGAAGATGCATCGGTAAGTGAGGAAGATACCCAATATCAAGAGCATATATTTACTCCAGGAAGCGACTCTCTTTTGGTTTTATTCACACTTTTGCTTCTCAGATATTGTTGGCTTCGTAAAGCCTCAACATTTTTGATGATTTATGCAGAGAGAACGTCGCAACATGGCTCTAGTTCACAACATGAATTTAACATTTCAAAATGTTAAGGTCACAACATCGATGAATTCACAACTTTTCTTAGTATAGACGCCGCATATTAATAACTTAGACGAGTTCATGCCGCCTTGTAGGAAACTCTATACCAATCCAGAGCAAGGAAATTCGCACTAATTTTGATGAAGACATTTTGAAACCTCCCTGATGAAATTAACTAAGAATATCAAGAAATATATTTATTTTATGATGAGCTTGTCGTGACGAAGGTCTGAATAATCAGTGTTTCGTTGGGGCCCCGACGAAATGGAAATTGTTATTTCTGACATTAAAGAAAACGTTTTAACTTTGTATTAGGAATTGAGTCCCCATGATTAATTATTTCGAAAATCTCAGCAACGAATTTCGGAGTTGATATAGAAGTATACTTACTAGCTTCCTGCAGTCGCTTGCAGAGAAAATGGGTAAGTAAGTACCCATTTTCTCTGTAAATGAGTAAGTTTCTAACAGGGTTCAACTAGATCAGGGTTCAACTAGATCTCACTAATAAACGCAAATATATACGCCACAGTTGATTCAACGCAGTTTGTTACAAACTAAGCAATTTCTTATAGATATCTACGATTAATTATATAATTTTAGGCATTGTACGAGTTGATACAGATCATGGATGATTAATCCCAATAATATTGATGAGAAATGGGCAGCATGAAGCCTCAGTGATGAGAATGTTGGACTTAGTAGCGCATACTGAGATCTTTTATAATGTCGTACGTGACCCACATCAAAACATTGCGTTTGTGTTGGAACCTGATTACTTTTGTGTTGTATTTTTATTTATTTAATTTCTTCTTAATTTATTTCTAATTGAATTTTTTGACCTGTAGAGTTTCAAAAATGTACTCATAACCTACGAGTCATTGTTACGAGTGGACTCTCCACATGACCTACCTCAGGTTCTTCATCTCAGTGTCGCCGGCACTGAGCATTTTATCCAGCGCCTGGAGCACCACATCCGCCTGCACCGGGGCAATAATTGTTACTTCACAACAATTTATTTATGCTGCATATAACTGCTCATAATTATGGAAATGACATGTTAAATTAAGACAAATCAATCTCCTCATGCTCATGTGTCTCAATCAACTCATGTGTCTCAATCTGCTCATGTGTCTCAATCAACTCATGTGTCTCAATCTGCTCATGTGTCTCAATCTGCTCCTGTGTCTCAATCTGCTCATGTGTCTCAATCTGTTCATGTGTCTCAATCTGCTCATGTGTCTCAAATCTGCTCATATGTGTCTCAATGGTTTCTTTCAGTAACGATCTTGGCAATACTTATTTTTAATGCATTTGAATGTTTCAATAAATGATTTGATTCCTATAATTCAAAAGTGTACATATTCTACCTCGATGGTAATATTTCAATAATGAAAAATAACGAAAATTTATCGATGTATTGTGAAGCAACCTATTTGATTCTTGCCAAATATAGGAACGAAAGCCTACATCACAATAGAGTAAATGAATAATTAACAAAAATTGTAATAGAAGAAGAATTAGAAACATAAAACTGATTTTTTATTTTGACGGGATTCAATCCTACGTTTCATCTTTATTTGCAGCATACATTAAATTGAAGTGAAATTAGTTAGAATACCAAAATTGCCTTCGAAAACTTGAAAGCAAATAAAATTCTATTGTGTGGTAAAGTTTGTACAAGATTATTATCAAACTCTCGCATTTGGCAAAAAAATTGTGCGTTACCTGACGATATAAATTCTTCATTATAGAAAAATTCAACAGTCATTCCTTTATAAAAATTGGCAAGCTGCTCTTTAATAAAAGACCCTACAAGCTACCTGTAGGGAAAGAATCATTACTCTAACGCATCACGATCCTGAAATTGATGATATTGAGGTTTACGATTCCGAATAAAATTATTTGAGTATGTGTGTGTGAGTATGTGTGTATGTGTGTGTGAGTATTTGAGTGTGTGTGCGTGGGTGCATGTGAAACCTGCGCTCGAGAATGACATCGCTTTTTCAAAGAGTACTATGCGAATAGCTGAAATGAAATTTCATTAAGGTTATAAGCTGCTTTAAATATTAACGAGGCTGGAAATATTTGAAAAAGTCATAATTAATCGATTACATGACTTTCTTATTCACATGCTTATTCTTGACTTTCTTATTCACACTGCATCAGTAAGGCAACTTGTAATTCAACTGAATTTGAAACATCCACGATATTCGCTATGCATTTGTCAAATGATGACGAAGTAAATCTATGATAATTCTGTAAAAAGCGTTTTCTGTAAAAAAATAAAGATTCCAAAAAGCCTTACGAAAGTAAAAAAAACAATATATAGGACAAAAATAAACTGCCAACTCACCGGAATAGTGATGAAGCTCCAGACCGCCTCCGTCAGGTTCTTCAGGCTCAATGGCTCCTTGGGATCGAGAGGCAGTTTGGGAGTGAGCAATAAAGGCCGATCGTCGCTGCCTCTCGAGCGGCGGCAAGGCCTTGAGGAACGAACACCTCCAGCCTCGTTATTTGCGATACGAGAAGGGGATACTGATCGACTAGTGCGGCCGGGATCAGGATTGTTTAACTGCTGCGAGAAGGAATGCACTCTCTGCTGAACGACCCCCAGTCCATTAACTGTTTTTAGATGTTCCAAAGATGGACCGCGCTCCCATACAATGCGAGGAGCAGCGTCTCTCGTAACTGTTGTGTCGAGACCAAAAGAACTCGAGCAAAATGACGGTGACGAAAATGAACCTCGCTGTTGTGTTCTAGGATCGGTGAGACTGACTGAAGTTTTTCTAGATTCGCTAGATGGGTAGTCCGCCTTGACATTGCTGGGGCAGTTTTTGTCTTGAGCTGAATCCTTGATGTCCTCGGTGGGTTCTCGGGGCGAATTTTGAGAATAAAAAGCTCCAAATGGGCATGCCATTTTTGAACTACTTTCCTACGAGTGAGGTTTTACTTTGCAGGCCGTTATTATGGTCT